TACCTCGAGAAGGCTTCTTGATTGTATGACTTTTGGTCGTACAACTATACCAACTTGTTATTCGAATTAAAGGGTAATGCTATTTGTAATTAGCTGTATTTAGGCCTAATTATCAAAAGGCTGTTAGTTGCTACCATATTATCCTGTTAGTTGCTTCCATTATTGCCATTAAAATGTGAACCAGTGACTTCATTATAAGTTCATTATTTTCATTCGTGCAGTCCTGCAGGTGTTTAGAACTTTTTATCATTCAGAAATGTTAGAGTACAATAAATGTGCTCAACACTTAGCATTTATTCTGCTAAATAGTGACAACTGAACAATAGAAATAAACAGTAGAATTAGCATAACGTAGTAGTATTTAGTGGTATTGATGTTGCACAGTTCTAGTGTTTGTACTCTAACATATGGAGAAAATTGCGCTTAATTTTCTATGGTTTTCATTCGAGTTAATTTGCATTTACTAGCAGGGGGGGATAAATTTGAAGAGATTTAAAAATAATACTCAACTTTCGGTATTTCCAAATCTCTTAATAGGTTGAAAATTAAGGTTTACCATAGAAATTAGTGGTGATGGAATATTCTTCAAAATATTGGCATACACTGGCACATCTATCGATTGTGGTATTTTAAAAAGTACAACTAACAGAGCAACTCTTATTTCCTTTCAAAGTACTTAAAGCACCACCTCACTAATAGACTTTTATGTCTATAAAGTTTATCTTTGGATCCCCCAAATTTGCACCCATATAGTGCTGCAATGCTACCAAGCAAATGCATTCCATAATTTTATCTTGTCGTTAACAACTTCCACTGTCATAACTTATCATGCAAGATTATAGGTGATTGGAATTTGAAATAGGTGATTGGAATTTGCAATGGAAAATTACTTCACTAATAAAAATACCTGAACTTTACTCTCGATATTTTATTTATTTTTTAGCCATTATTTGATTTCGCTAATGGATTTTTATAGGTTTTCAAAAACAAGAAATGTAATTTCTTCTCATGTAACAGATTCCTTGAAAAACCTTGCCAAATAATGCCAAATAATACTAGAAAT